GAGGTCTTCATCCCTCAATAACCCAACCTTCTGAAGACATTTAATCCATTTTTGTCCCACTGCTAAATGAAGACTGTATGGAACTATTGATGAAAAGCAGTTTATAATACCAGAAATGACCAGAAAAGGTAACGGCAGATAGACGTCATCAAAGCAGCCAATGTTGTCTGTGAAATACATGAAAAGGTAACAGACGTTTAGCACCAAGCACTAGACAAAATGAAACTCCATGAGAACTACAGTCACCTTCTTTAACTATACAAAAGGCAAAGAAGAAGATTGTAAAGTTATCATTTTGAAACTGATATTTGTGTCATTCACTGAGATCAAAGTGCTGATAAAGGAACATTGACCATAGTCTGACCAGGACGTTTTTAAGTTCAAGTCCTTTCTTTTGGCCGTGAGGAGACTTAATTCATTCAACTCTAAAGTCCAACAAATAAAAGATCCTAGCAGAAACAAATAAGATGGGGTTGAAAAAGCTGTGGTTCTATAGGGTCGTAAACCTCTAGTGAGCCAACAAAAAAGAAAAGTTCTCATCAGCAAGTCTACGCGAACCTTTTACTATTTAGATCAGGAAGGTAACAGTAAACCAAAGTGTCCTCTAAGTAAAGAGCTGTAACTTGGCCAATGTCGTGACCTTGCCAAATTGAAGGAGAGCCAAAGCTTGCCCTAAAGAGACTAAAGAAAATCTGCAGTAGACTGGTTGGACACTAGTAGTACATGTACACATAGTCGGTCATCAGTTTTAAAAGACAACTACCAGTCGGAAGGATGGGGGTTGGGGTGCTACAGAACATGTGGCCAAAGGGAAAAGAGGGGATTGTATTACAGTACTGGTGATTCTAATTAGCAGTGCTGTTAGCAGAGTGTGGTTTGATCCAGCGGTTGATCCAAATATCCCAAGCGGATACCCAGGTTCAAAGGTAGGAAATATATTATGTATACAGAGCTTCTTGTTTCACTGGGCTTTCACTGGCGCTAGCACCTTTGCAAACACCAATGCTCCCCTTTTATTGGTGCATCTATGAGGTTAAGGTTCAACATACATGTCTTTCATTGGTTACCTTATTATGATGTCAGCCTTATTTCCTCTTTTGCAAGGGCGTCAGTTTGTTTTCAGAATTGCTGGGGACAATAACCATACACTTGAGTGGGGTTTAAAAATTGCTGGGGACAATAAAGTAGGCTAGCACAGGGGTCGGCGGCTCTGGAGCCGCATGCGGCTCTTCCATCCATCTGATGCGGCTCTCTGTGCTTGTAAAATAATGAATGGATATTTAAATAAAATGCTTTATATTTTACTGCATTAATTTTACATCTGTATGCCAATTCTAAATGTAAAGATTGTCTGCGTAAACCTGAACAGGTCCAACCCGGTCTTACTGTGAGACCGGGTTGACGCGTCACGCTTGTGCGTAATCATAGGCGCTTTATGAGCTGAAGAGGATGTGAGATTCTGGGATTCTCCTCAGACAGCTCCTGGATGTGTCGCCACATTGGAGACAGGAACAAGCGCTATTCAGCCAAAGTTTCATAATCAGGGAACATTTTCTAAGTGACAAGTCTCTCTGAGAGACCGGGTTTGGAAAACGCTCGCTTCAGTGGGAGGAATCTTCCCGCATGCGCTCTGGTTGGCTCTGGGTTTAATCAAGTTTAATTGTTTCTCTTTGCAACAATCTTCACAAGAAGGCAAAACAGTTAAACGGCAGGTTACAGATATTTCCATTTGACTGTTTATTTTGACAGATGAACTTAAGGATGTTGCTTGGTTTGAAAGAATTACCCCGACGCACACTGATGCGCATGGATGAGTTGACATTTTAATCGTTAACGCACATCGCGGAGGTAAAATATTCCCATCAGAACATCAGAGCTTTATACTGGACACTGTGTTCAGCGCGGCTCGAAGTGCCCACGGTGGACAGTGAGCTGAAGATCTGGTTCGCAGCGCAGTGCAGAACCACAGCGCATGCGATAAGATTTCCTCCCACTGAAACAGTCCGGAAACCCGGTCTCTCTGAGGGATGTGTCACTTGGAAAAATGTTCTTTTTATGAAATTATGAAACTTTGGCTGAACAGCGCTTGTTCCCGTCTCTAATATGGAGACGCATGATGCGTAGAGACATTTGATCACGCACAAAGTTTATGTGGACCAGAAGCGGTCGGGCCACGACAGGTGAAACGTTCCTAGCCTACATGAAGGGAAACTGTTTAATTGTAACATTAATACGTTACTGGACACGCTGGTCTGGTTGGTTAGACCAGTGTTTGAAGTGGAAAACACACACACACACACACACACACACACCAATTAAAATAATGCTGATAGCATGGACTAGAAGCCAGGTGATGGTTTACGTATTTAAATGATCAGGCTGCTGTAAAATGTAATCTCCATCCACATCCAGACACAATTATCCTCTATTCTTTCTCTATTTGCTCTGCTCTTGTCTGGGCTGATCAGCTGATGGTGCGCGCGACGCGCCTAACTAGCGGCTGATGCACATTTTACGCATTTGGAGAGGTGGGCTGGATGCTTTGCGTTTACTGGAAGATGGTCCACTTAACGCACGGGTGTGGACTACATATTAATGACAAATGAATGAAAATTAAATTGTGAGTTTTTACTTCATATTTTATAAATAAAAAGGACGGGGGAAAACATTTATGACATCTTTTTAAACTAAATTTTCTAGCGCGACCTGCCTGCTTCACTTAAGTCACTGCTTATTAAGGTCCATCCAAAATTACCGTGGGAAACGGGTAATAATGTCTCTTTGATGGGAATAGGTTGCCGACCCCTGGAAAAGATCTGAGCTGGTAAAACAAAAATCCTCATCAGCAGGCGTTTTTGAAAGTGGGGGGGACACAGCTGCCAATCACAAATTTTGCCGGGGACATGTCCCCGGCGTCCTCGGTTAAAATGACGCCTATGCTCTTTTGTCCTTTTCACAATAAAAGCATGTTTACACACATTCTTATTTACATATATTTACACATACACATGCAACATACAACAGGGCATATAACTGGGTGTATAACTGTTGTAAACAAAATAACAAACTGTCATGAAAACTGGCAAGCTCAAATCTCACACCTCCCCCACCAGTCCTAATCTGTCTGACCAGCCTGCCTTATGTTTGCTGTTAACAATTCTTTTATTTGTCATTCTGGCGTCTACATCTATTTCTCTTGCTGTCCTCTCACACTAACTGTTAGCTCTAGGCGTCTGTTTCAGTTGAGCTTTTTTCCTAGATAAGGTAGAGTCTTAACTTCTCCTGGTATAAAGTGGAAATTAATTTGGTGTGTAATAGTATATCAATTAGGATTTTTCGGTATATAACATTCCTGTAAGTACAGGGCAGAGGCATTTGAGTTTCCACATGGATGTGTGTTGTACTTTAGCAAGCAACACATGCGGCTGCGGTCAAATTCGGCATCCTTGATAGGACATATGGCCACCCGATTTACGTAGGCTGATGTTGGTACCAGACCAGCTCATTTAATCTGAAGAAAGACGTTTGCGAGACACCGGGTCTATGTTGACTGGGAGGACCTGAAGTGAATGGCTGTGAAATTAGATGGTCTTACCTTGGTATATGTCCTCTCATCTAACAATTGTGATTATGCTGAGCAATATGGGAGACCCACAAAAGCTACAGCCATAGACATTATAACTGTACAAAGATACGGGGGCCTCATTTATACGGTTTTCTCTGACACAAAACAGGACCTGAAAATTGCACCAGTAATTTTCTTTGCAAACTCTGTGATTTATGAAGAAAAACTTGACCAAAACAGTTTGCAACTTTAAGCAACCACTGACCTTTCCATAAACACATTTTGGAGATGTAGAAACTGGCAGTGCAGCTGATGAGATGATACACTTACAGTGTAAAACAAACAAACGTTAAGCAACATACATTTAGAGATTTTAGATAAAAAAATTTAAATCAGACATTGTCTCAGGAAGCTCACTTATCTTGAGACAGACATATATTTAGCACTTCAAAATTTCCTAATATTTGCTCAGTCTGCCACAACTCCAAGCAAAGGGGTGTAGCCCTTTTACTTGATCTCAGGGCCTTGACTCCAATTGTGCTTGGGGTGTCTGTGATGAGGAGGTGGTTCCCGGGAGTTTGAGTTGATGTTGCCCGAGTATGGAAGGAGGAGTCAACAATGCTTACAATTGTTATTAGAACACTGTGTCTATTAGTTACATGTATCTAGTGGTGTATACTTCAAAGACTAATTTCTTCCATGTTTCAAAATATTTTGCTAATCATATATATATATATATATATATATATATATATATATATATATATATATATATATATATATATATATATATATGTGTGTATATATATATATATATATATATATATATATATATATATATATATATATATATATATATATATTTTTTTTTTTTTTTTTTTTTTTTTTATTGGAACAACGCACCTCACCGTCACATCTTTACATTAGGTGTGTATGGATTCATAAACACAGAGACACATCCCACTAGCACCGCTTGCTGCAGTCAGTCTTTGTGCCTCTGGTCCATTCTTTCAGCTGACTCCTATCCGCGTGCTGTGAAATCTAACTGACCTCTCTTCTGTCATATCAGACTCCTCCCCTTCGACGCCACGCCGACCTTCTGACTGCTTGTTGAACTGTCCAATAAAATGATGGCTCTTAATTTCCAGCACATCGCATGGACCAATCAGATACGTGAACGGGGCGGGATTGCTGTGGGCCTGGCTTTCATGTTTGGCTGTAACGGTAAGCTCCGGGTGGGAATTTTTGACTTTTCTTTCACGTAAAATTTGATTAGAACACCGTAATTTTCACAGTAGCGACACGTGTAAAGAAGTGCTAATTTCCCCTTCCAAACCAAGTCATGTTTGCCGCTTGTTCTTTGCTTGGCTAAGTGGACAGCGGCGCAAAGTATCCCAGTAGAGAACAACGGTGATTTTCTAGTTCAGTCATGACAGCCTTTCTATGAACCTGAATAATGACTGTGTTGTTACCTTAATTCATTTTCTCCACTCGTTTAAAACGAGCAGAGCATTTATTTCATTGCTACTATTACGTTAGAAACGTGGCATATGTTTACGAGTTTGTCATATTATACCTACAGCATCATTATCATTAATGACCACATCACCTGTGCATTCAACGTGCTAGTTTTAGCCAACCCTATGTTTACATGATGTTTAAAGTTGTTGCTCCCCGACCATCCTACTGGTCCCCGCAGTCCACACACTCAAAAGTCTACATAGGCAGGCAAAACACGTGTGAACAGAAAAAAATTGTGCAACTAAACTCCAGAGAGGCAGAGAGAATGCTGTTACTTTTCTTGTTGCCACTGTGGTCTTTCAGAAATCCACGGTGAGAGCTGACATTCACCGCTGGGCTGAGAAGACTGCAGCAGGGACCACACCTCTCCTTCAAGTGGACTTCTCTGCAATTTGGATACGATTTGGAACTGGCAAACTTTTTATTTTTGCGTTTAAAAGGAATGAACTTCGAGAACACCTAACGTGGATGCTCTGCTGCGTGAAGTTGAGGAAGTCCCTTCTTTTGGACTAAATTTTAAGAACTTTTTAGTATTTTTTCTGACAGACACGACGTTAAAGCTAAAATGGATCAAGCCAGTGGCGGGGAGGACCCGAGCAAACCCTCAAAAAAGAAGTACACTGAGGATGAGGGTAAAAACAAAAAGCTGGTAAGCATTTGCATGAAGGCAGACTGAAGGTCTCCCCTTGGCATCCCGCAATATTTTGCTGATCACACTCTAAAAAGACAAAAATGTTGCAGAAATTTTGGCCACCCTAGCTGAGTTAAACATCTGTAGAAACAAAACAGGCTTTCAGATCATCAGTGATGGATGAGGTGGAGGTATTGATGTGTTGTTATTAATATTTAATGCACCCAAATCGCAGGTAGAGCAGTTAGAGTTGAGCAAAAGAGATAATGTTATGCTGAGTGCTCCACTTTTCAAGGCACTAAGTGGATCATATTATTATTATCTTATCAATGCTTCCCCTTAAGGTTTTCTAAAGAGCGCTCTTGTTGTGACAGCCGGACTTGTACACTGTACATAGAGGTTGTTACTAGGTGACTCATTGTAGGGGACGGTACCCGTGAGGTTTCTGCTGGTTTTATGAACCATGTGAGTGTGTGTGATTGATAAACAAATCCTTAGTCAGCCCAAGGGCAGTGTCTGTGAGATAACAACTGAAAGGCTAAGCTAGTTTTATTTTGTTTGTAGTTCTCACGTTAGCTCTTGGTGAGTGGAGCGTACCTGTGCAGAAGAGGATCACTTTAGCGCTTCATGACTTACCTGAACTGGTGTTTGGTTGACGCATTGTTGTGGGTTCTGTTTGAAAACAACCTACTGAGTGTTGATACAACTGAAAACGCATTTAGTACCAGTGTCAGCAGTGTCCAACAAGTGTTAAAAGCACCGGTAGCATCATTAGAGAAGGTGTGAAATACACCCAAACTGTCTGCAGCATAGAAACCCCCGTTAGTAAGTCCTTAACTAAATAAGCTTGCTACTAGGGGACATTAGAGTGGAAAGTTGGATGCTGTTGAACTTTCTACATGATGTCACCTCTCACATTCTAATCACCAACCCTTAGTACCTTGTTTGTTGTTGGATTAGTCAGATGTTTCCCAGCAGCCACCAAGCTGCTCAAGACTATAAAGCAGTGTTCAGCCTTGATCAAAAATCGATCTTTAACACATTTTTTTCTTTGGTCAATAAAACTTAGAAAATCTAACAATTTCACTAAGGCCTTATGAGCTTTTTTCAGGGTGCTGTAGCTTTACACTCACAGGCATGTGTGCCAGTGTTTTGCGTCTTGTGTATAGTCTACATTCAAGTTTCAATTTTACAATAAATTATGAAAATAAGTTTATATTTGTGGCACCGTGCTTAAAAGCGTCTTGCCACCCAGGCACTGAGCACACTTTTAAGACTAAGAGCAAAGCATTTCCTGTCAGGGAAGTGCTGCCCGTCTAACGGTTGACTCTATAGCATCAGCTACACATTCATTTGGACACAGCGTGGGCTTTGAATGATGCATTTAAATAGTAGAGTGAACACATGAACTTAAAGTATCCATTTGGGGTTGGAACACCCAAGTAGCAAGGCTATACCAAATGTGAGTAGGGCTGTAAAGTTTGACCACATGGCTTACTGTCTGAATTAATTACAAGCTTTTAAATGTACTTAAGTTTATTGTTACTCTTTCAACTTTTAAAGTTGCCCTAAAAACCTACATTCAAATCGCTGCTGGAGTTGGCTGTTGTGAGCCTGTAATCACCAGTTGTTCAGACTCGAGTTAAAGCAGAGGAAAGTGTGACGATAATACGCGCCAGACAGGAAATCCCAGAGTTAACTCAAGTGACATGTTCCCCCCGAGCCTGGGTGTTGTTTTGAGAAACAGTGAGGACAGCCTGCGATGAATATCCTGTCTCCCAAGTTTAAAATGACGTCACCACTTAACCCAATCACTCCCAAGTTGCCTATGGAAGATGATTTATTATTATTTTTTTTGTTTCTCAAAGGAGTTTAATGGCCAGGCATGTTCACTATTGCTCAATCTTCCTGAAACTCAAACTGTAGCTGTTAGCAACAATCTTTGCTCAGCTCTGATTTGAGGGGGGAAGTGATTGTTCCTCCCAGGGTGGAGTCCTGGTTTGTCCTCTTTATTTTAATGTACATCATAGTTCAAAAGTTTTAGTTTGGTTGCAGACTTGTACAAATGAACATTTATACGATTTTGAAAGAAAGAAATGCAGTAAAAGTCCATAAAAGGACAAAAGTGGCAACATTTCTTTAGTTATTTTTATCACATGATGCAATAGTGAAATATCACAAGTTTAGTGTGTAACCATTCTTTGTTTTCTTCACATACTTCTTTACTGACATCAATAAAGTAAGCACTGTGACTTTGCTTGGTCCCATAATTGTTTTGCCTCAAGCAAAACCAAGTCATCCTTCATAACAGAAACACTGAAAGCTGTGTGCTTGTTCAACAAGTCACTGGGCTGGATTACATCACAGCAACACAATTTAGGACGTGGGCACATGATGCTGATGCTCAACATAGCCAAGGATGTTTAAATAACTCTATGGGGTATGAGATAACAGAAACCTGAAGTTGTTTTTAGTGCTAACATTTCTGTTATAACAGGGATGTATGGGGGTGGAATGGGTTCATTTAGGGAAATTCAGTGGCACTGGTTTGGGGAAGGAAGAAATAGTTTCCTTTCTGCATACCAGAGTAAAACATGCCCTCACAATGCAAAGGGAGAGAGGAGTCAGCCTACCCTGACCCTATAAAGACAATGGGGCTGTATCTGTTTTACCGTGTAAACAGATGGGGCGCATGTTTTCAACCTACAACATGAGTGGAATAAACAGGTACTTATCATGTAATCTGTTCATAGATTTGTTCTTGCTTTAACAATACATAGTGTTGTTGACTGAAACAATTAATTTAGTGATCTGAATTATTCGTTCACAACAAAACATTGATGCAAGAATTGCCTTATTTAAAATGCAGACACATGTTTCAGGGGGACAGTTACTCCTGTCAGATCTGATGCTGATGGCGTGTTTTTTTGTGTAATGAACAAAGAAAGAAAATAATGAGAACATCTGAAAAAAGACCAAAAATCTGGAATTGTATCAAATGTGAGAGAGAGGAAACGCTGTTGCAAAACACACCACAGTTGTATGACGCAAACAACGCAAACAACTCCACAAATGATTAAAACAGTGTTCTGTAGATACAGCCATTCTTACATACGTATTATATTATTGTACAAACATAATACTAAGATAATGTTAACAAAGTTACGACATCTCAGCCGACGAAACACTTAAGAATCTATAACAGATTTGGTGTCAAAAATACTTCCACCAGAACGTAGACAAAATTTATTGGATTATGAGAGGACGTGATGTATTCAGTCAAGTCAGACACAATATTTTTGTTAAATTTGCACTCAGCTCTACATACCCATCAGAGGGTTTGTCACCTTGTAAAAATAATTATACAAAACCAAAAGGGTTAATTTGGCAAACTGACCGATCTTTCATTCCTGAACAGAGATATCCAAGATCTGGTGACTGACAGTTTCTTTAAGGCAAATGCTCTGAAAGGGTTTTAAACTAAACAAAATAAGTCAATAAAAATAGCTAAATTGAGTTTTTATGCCACGGCAGCAATTGCTCATGCAACAGAGGGTTTACAGTTGTGTCAGTGCAGAAGGTTGTGAACAAACTGAGGTATAGCGTGTTATGCCCGGATACTTGATTAATCAAAAGACTTTTGCAAGTACTCTGTTACTAAAATATTCGGTAGCTGTAGCTTACATGTTTTCTGTAAGTACGTAAAGTCACTGTCCGTGGTATGTTTGCACGACTTAGCCATACATTGTATTTTGTGAGTTACCTAAATTTCAATTTATAATTAGTTTGCCAGCAAATCTTTTTCCTGGGAGCATTAGTTGAGCTGTTTGTTTAATAAAGCACAGTCAGTAGAAGTGAGGTGTTTGTTAACACCCACAGAAAAATAGACAAATTAAAGGTGTGGGAAACTCTTTTAATCAATACATTTGCAATGGTCTCTGGTAGGAATGAACCTATTGGACATTTTGCCTCGGAATGGATAACAGCAACGTGACTCTACCACTGACTTGCAACGTTGAGGTTTTATCTCCACAAATAACACAAGCCTGGAGTAGCTCTGTGTGGTGGAGTTGCTAATGCTAACAGTTAGCTTCCACTAGCCGAGACATTCTCTGCTGTTTCCTGGACGATAAACAACAGCCTTCCCTGTCGTGAGCCAAGATGGGTAAGTCCATAAATGTGAAATGATTCCAACTGTTTCAGTTTAATAAAATATTTCAGTTAAATGGTTTTCTGAGCTTTTGAATTTTGTTTAAGAAATAATTGCTGAGAAGTAAATTTCTACAAAAAGCTGTGCTTTCCTTTTGTAACACATTAGTTTGGTTACAGTTGTCCTCTATTAACGAGAACATTTAAATTACACTCGTAGACTTAAAACAGCTGTGTGGGTGTGTGAATAGATTGTGGTAGGTATTCAAATTCAATTAAAAATACTTTATTAATCCCAGAGGGAAATTCATCAACAAATATAGATTAGATGTAAAGCATCTCCCATCAGCACCACTAATGAGATTAATCATTCGTCTATGGCAACATAACATCATAATAACCCAATATTTGGTACAAAACATTGGGATTGATGTTTGGACTGTGAAGCACATGTTTAATGATCTGAAGAGTCTGGTAAAAATTAGACATCTTATACAGCATTGCACTGTTTTACCATCACAAAGTAGACCATGTTATTTTTGGAGATAAAACTTCAACGTTGCAACGCTAACAGAGTCAGTGGTAGAGTCGTGTTGCTGTTGTCCAATCTGAGGCGAGATGTCCAATCATCAGGAAACAAGACTCCAAATTCTGCCATTTGAAGCTACATTCTCCTCCAGCTGACTTGTACTTTCTGAAACAAGTGCATCTGAGCTTTTTTCCGCCCTGAAAACGACTTACAGGGCATTCATTCCTACCAGAGACTACTGCAAATGTATTGATTAAACAAGTGAACCACACCTTTAAGCTTTAGCATTTAAATGGAAACTTAGTCATTAAAGTAAGTTAGGAGGTTATGAACACTGGAC